CTTCAGCACCCTCGGATGGAGCTCATCCGGGCCTGCCGACTTAAAGGCATCCAGTTCTTCCCAGTGACTCTGCACCATCTCAGGGTCTACGCATGGAAGCCTGGTGCCTTGCTGCTGCCTCTCTACAACCCCAGTGAGAGACTTGTCATGCCCCTCGCTTATTTTTCTAACTCAATTCATTTTTGGCCATATGACTTTTTGCAATAAAACTGATAACAGGTTCCATTTGGTTGCGACACACATTGTCTGAGCGTTAGAGTGGGACCAACCACATTCGACAAAAACTACTGCAGCACCCATCACAGAAGTACTACCCAACCCGAATAGAATTAGAAAGAAACTACTTGCAAGTCAAAGCCACTAAGTTCCAGTAACAATCCCAAAGATGTTATAGTTTGCTTTAAAAAAACAAAAAAAAAAACACTTAAAATAAAACATGAAATTAGTCTAGCCAAATGATAAGGACATTTCTATTGGACATTAAAGATATTAAGTGCATTACTACCATTATCTCATGTAACAAAAAAGGGAAGAGCCCCCAGAACTTCAGTGTCTTTTCTGGAAAAGAAACAGTGCCTATTGGTGCTGGTCTCCTATGTCAGGGATAAGTACATTTTTTGTCATAAGAATTAGTTAAGAATACCCCTGGCTTCAGTAGCTACTCTCCAATAATCAATATACCAATAACCTGCTCTTTGCAAGTGTGATCTTTATCCTGAGATCTTTAAATATTGTGTATATGGGCCTGTAAAATAAGTGGAGGTGTGAAAGGATTAAAATCTAACAGCATATTTCAACACTACAGAAATAAACAACAGACACTGTTACAACAAAAGTTCACACAGAAGCTTCCTTTTACCAGTGATGACATTAGCTTTTAGAGAATGTGTGTTTTTGTACACAGTAAAAGTGAACTGCTGAGACACGTCATATAACTAATTCCTCATAACCCAGGAAGCAAAGATATTTGCTGAACTAACCTGCAGTAAGTGAATTGCTAGACCAGCAATTCTCAACCCACCCCTCCATAATTTCTCTGAAGTCAGTGCCCTCCCCCACACCTTTCAACAACATTAGTTTCTTTTGTTTTTTTTAGACAGTGGAAAAATAACAGAACAATTGTATTGCAAGTTACTCAAAAACACTACAGTTCAGAATGTTTTTGACACTGTGGAATCCTATTTGAATTCTTTGGACTTATCTTGCAAATCGTATGTAGATCCATGCACATCTAACAGTGCTAATATTGCGTAGCACCTTGCAACACCCTTAAAAGAATGTCACAGCACCCTGATTGAGAATCACTGAGCTAGTCAGTATTTTTTTGCTTATAAGCAGCATCCACATCTGTGTTATTTGAAATAATTAATTATGAGTAATAAATTAGGCCCTTGTAGTAAAGTATACAACATTATGCAGAACACTTCAGCAAAACCACATAGAATGTAATACAAAGGCAAAAAAAAGGTTGCCAATTAAACATATTTGAACAAACCATGTAGTCTCCGATAAGTATGTTTCATTAAACACCATCCTAAGCCACCTTTCAGTTTGATTGCAAATTTCTAAAATCATATTAAATCTCATATCCCTGAGAGCTCTTCACAACACAGCTCTAATTCTATCACACATACCCTTGCATAATTCCAATGGATTGCATGCAGGTGTTCAAATATCAATATTAAAACAAAGAGAAAGCATTAAGTCATAGAAGTGCAGGCCTGGAAGGAAGGATCTTAAAAGATCCAATCCATAAATGCAGCAAAACCAGTGATCTCCAAGCAAGTTGCTGCAGTACCCTGGAGTGCCCCAATATCCTTTTAGGGATGGCACAGGGTGCTATGCAATATTAGCACTTTTCAGTGTGCAAACACAGTATGTGATTCACAAGCTAAATCCACAGATTTCAAATCAGAACACACAGTGTCTAAAACATTTTTTTAAAGAAAAATTTTCATGTCCCAAATCAAATCAGCTAAATCAATTCCAAATCCATGAGTCAGCCAAGAACCATATGTGGCTCTGCTACCAGCAAGCATCCTCCATCCCTGGAGCTTCAGATGCTTCCAAATCTGGTGGCGGGCATCCTATGTGTAGGCCCAAGCCCAGAGGCTTGGGATTCAGATGCCCCTGAGTTTTGCTTGCTGTCAGCTGTATGGCCACAGGAGTGAGCTAGGGAGGAGTCTCCCATTTCCATAAAATTGGCATGTAGCAGATCATCCCACTGGAAGGGAAACTGGGAGACTAACTATATACATTACCCCAGTTAGCGATCACAGTGTTTCCCCTGCCAGGTTCTTATGCCCCGTCTACAACAGGCATGGAGAACAAGAGGGCACCCTCTTCCAGGCACCCTGCATACACCCCGGCCACTCTCCTCCCCCTGCCTCCTCCTGCCCAGGCTGGTCTGTTATGGACAAAGAAAATGAACCCGAACTAAAACCCCAGCTCCCACCTTGCACCCAGGAGGTGGCTCCTCGTTTGCACCTGGCACTTATTTTCCCCATTGCCTGGGAGTCAAAGTAATTGCTCTGGAGGTTTCGGGGGCAGTTCTTTCCGTCCCTTCGTTGGCCCTCTGTCGGGGAGGTGGCTCGGCTGTCCATTGCGGCCCCCACCCCCACCGCCTCTTTGCTTCCCCTACTGCTGCGTCCAGCCCTCCGCATCTTCCAACACGTCTCCATCACCTCCCTACCCCGCCCCCACGCCGGCCCAGCCGGCTCCGCCGGGCGTTTGGGACCGCGGGAGGGGAGCTGGTCCCGACGCGGGGAGGCGCAGGGTACGAACCACAGCGGACGCCATGGGCCCGGGCTGCACCCCCAGCCCTGCCTGGAGGCAACACCAGCTCCGCCGAGCGCACCACAAACGGCCCCCCCCCCCCCCCCCCCCCTCCCCCCCCCCCCCGCTGCTGCAACCCCCGCCCTCTCCTCCCGGTCCTTCCCATACCGAGCGCTCGGCGGCTGACCTCTCTCGCGATACATGGCTCTATCGCGGCACAGAGGCCATCTTGGCTTCTGCTCACCCGCACGGCTGGCGCATGCGTACTCCAAAGATCCTATCCCCGGCTTCCGGAAATGGGGGGAGGGGGCTCGTAGGCGCATGCGCGTGACCCTGCGGCCGGGCCGGACGCCGGCCGTTGGGAAGCGAGGGGGTTCTGCGCGTGCGCAGCAGCGGGCTCGGCGGGGCCGGGCGCTGTCGGGGAGCAACGCAGACGCGGGGCCTGCGGCTAGGCGGGAGCAGTGGCGCTCGGTGAGGCGGTGGCCCGCCTTCCCTTTCCCCGTCGTGGCTGCGTCAGCAGTGGTCTGACGGGAGGGGGTTGGCGCCGGGATGGGGGTGGAGCGGCTCCTCAGAGCCCCCGAGCGGGGTGTCGGGGGCTCGAGGGGCCCGGCGCTACGCAAACAGCGTATGTCTCCGTTGGGGCGGGGGGAAGGGTCTCTAGGGCTACAGGCGCCCTGGGTGTGTAGGGCTGGGGGGGTTGGACTAGTGACCTCGGGAGGTCCCCTCCCACCCCGCTGCTCTGGCACTTCTGCCTATGGATTCATCCTGGTCCCCAGGGCTGTGGTTAAGAAACTCTCTGGAAAGGGCTTGGGGCCTGCCTGGCTTCAAGCATTTTGCATATGGTGCGTGGAAGGGGTGGGGGGTCCAGTCTGCTTCAGCTTCTTCTGTAGCTCTCACAGCCACTAATGTGGAAGGGCAGCCTCGGAGCGCCTGAGGAAATGGGTGTTTGAAGATGGTGACGTTCAATCTGAAGCCAAGTTCATGGTTAATCGAGCAGTCATGATCCCTGCCTCGCTGTGTGGAGCTGAGACATGGATGGCGTACAGACCTGTTTGCCACTTTAGGGGTTCGTGTGCCAAAGACCTGTGGGTAACATACAGAAGATGCCTCAATGCGCTGGAGAAGTGTTGTCAACGCTGCCTGCAGGAGATCCTTCAAATCTAGTGGGGAGGCAGACGCACTGACGTTAGTGTCCTCTCACAAGCGAACACCATGTGCATTAAGGCAATGATCGTCCAACGTCAGCATTGCTGGGCCGATCGCATCATCTGGATTTCCGACTCCAGACTCCCAAAGCAAGTTGCATTCTCCCAGTTCAGGCAAGGCGTACCCTCAAGAGGAGGGCAAGGGAAGTGCTTCAAGGATGTCTTCAAGGCTAACTTGAAAAAATGCAAAAGTGATATCAGCTCATGGGAGACTTGCCCAGCACTGCGCTGAATGGAGGAAGAGTCTGCTGCAAGGATCTTAGTACATTGAAACTTCAAAATGACAACAGAAGATGGAAAAATGGGAGTGGCAGAAACAGTGTTATGGACTGAACCAAGAACCCAGAGCCACCCGCCTTGCATGGAAACGTGTGCCCGAGTTGCAATGGTGTCTGTCAATCCTGGATAGGCCTTGTCAGCCATCTTTGGACCCACAGATAAGACGATCATGGAAGATGGTTATCCTTG